GTGCTCCTTCAGTACTGAAATGAGATGGCCTTTCCTCATTGGTTCCAATCCAGACCTAAGGTCTGCTGACTGCAGCGACCTACATGAAATGGGCTTGCCAATTCTAGGACAAAGATCAGAGTACATGAAGGTGATGTGTTTCCCTGGAACTAGCATATGCATGTTTACCAACTTGAAAGTCACTCCTCCCTTTAATTCAGCATTTTATTTCTTTTCCCCTTCTCTGATACCTTTGAAGGTCACTGCCTACATGAAAGATTACGTGCAAAGGACACCAAGCAAGTGCCAAGGCTGGAAAGACAGTGACCTCACCTTGAAAACGTTAGCAACGTTGCTTTACAATCTTCCATCTTCAGGACAGCTTCCCCTGGTGACAGACTGTTCCAGACCCCATTTATGCAGATGTTTGTGGAGCAAATCAACAGCTGCCAAGGTCACAGATGGGACCTGGTTGGAGCAGCCACAGGTGTGGGTTGTCCCCATAATGGAGAAAGAAGCCTTCAAGCTCCATTCACTGCCCTCTAAGTGGTCTCAAAAAGGGAGATTTGTCTTTCCTACCATATATAGGTGGAATAGGGTACAAACTCAAAAGGTAGAATTTGTTGCCCTCTAGGTCCAAAGAGACTATCTTGTACAGAGGAGCCTATTTTCACACAGCAGGTAGCCAGGCCCCCGTGGTGATGACTCTGGGCAGGTCACTATCAAACAGTTCAGCTTCATTTCAATGAATTCAAGAGATACTGAAACCATAGGTGACATTGGATGGGCTCTTCATTAGGCTTGCAGAGAATAATGGTGGTTGACAGAGAGTGTAAGTTCTACATTTCTCACTGTACTGTGCAATTAGAGAAGTGCTGTAAAACCAGAGGCTGGATGGATGGCATTTCATCTGAAAGCTACCCAAGCAGAGCTATCACTAAACATAGTAGTGGACAATCAAACCAAGCCCAACCCCCTTTAAACTGCCATTTTGCCTCCAATAAAAGGCTCTCTGGATACAGAGAGCTGCGACACAACCTGTTGGAAGCGCCACCAGAGGAACACTGCTACCCCCAAACCTTACTATTTTACTCAGATGGCATTTCCAGGAAAGGACTGCAATGTCAGCAACTGCTTCCCAGTGCACATAAACATGTTTTCCAGGAGCATGGGTAACTCCAGGTGTGCTGGCATGTGTTTTCCTTTCAGTGTGTGACAGCTAAAACCTTTGGTGAACAACAAGACTGCAGGCTAGAAGCTCTGCTCATGCAGCTGCCCAAAGACAGGGAAAATGTCCTTGGTGCCCTTTGAAAGAGGGAGAGGCTATGCAGAGAGCACAGGGGCTATGGCATATCTGCACCACACACAGACAGCTCCTGCTTTCAGCCAAACCTTGGGAAAAAAAGCAAACCAGCCAGACAAATATTCCTATATTTCAGGGAGCAGCAGCCACTCCATTTTTCTGCCATGTGCTGGCTCCACAGCAGGGGATCAATGCCAGGATTGTACATGGCTGTCCAAGCACCCCAGTAGCTGAGACACTTGTCTTCATGCAGGAGGGCCCACAGCCAAACTCTTTCTGTTAATTCATCCCAGTATCAGCCAGGAAAAGAGCTTTCTCTTCACTGTCCCCCTGTGTTATTTGCTGAATAAAATTCTTTCTCATTAGTAGGCCAAAGCCCAAGAAACAGCCCCTGGAACAAACAAGGTTCTGTGCAGATATAAATCCTCACCTCACTACCAGGGAATTAAAGTACAGAATTAGGCTGTAGCTGTTCCCTTTCAGCACAGTGAACGCTTAAGCAGGTTATGGCTTTGCACTGCAGACGTCTTCTGGGGAGGAGAAATAATGACTTCTTTACCAGCCCGAGTCACTCGCTGCTCTCAGGGAAACAAGCCTAGGGATTATTTGTTGACAAAGCAGTTAGGAATGATTACTGCATGTCAGTGTGTCTGAAGTGTTAACGTCAAGGATTGCTGAAGTGCCAGTATTTCTTCAGCCTAGTGTTTTCCCATCAGGAATGTTTGTGATGTGCAGAAGGGCTAACATGGCTACCATGGGAGATGCCAGCTAACAGGACAACCTTCTCACTGCTGCTGTGGCAAAAATTCACACAGGTCCCTGAGAAAGAAAGGTCCTAATTTTCCACACAGAAAAACTTGTCCTTCAGAGACTTACATCAAGTTTGTTAAGCACTGCAAGAAAAACAGTTATCTGGAAAGAAAAAGAAAGTCACTTACTGTTGGGACTTGCTTTCTGAACTTCTCATCAAAGCTGAAGATTTACCCTGTAATTCTTGAACTTGGCACTTTGCTACTCAGGACAAGCAGCAGCTGATGCACTCGAGGCAGACATGATTGGTGTTTTGCAAGAAGGGGGGATGCTGGAACTCTTGGAGATTTTGATTCTGTTGAAGTCCATGGGCTGATTACAGGCTATACAATGGCAAAGTGAGCTTCCTCCTCCCGAGACATTTATAGCTGAACTGTGAGGGGAACTGTGGAGCGAAGCAGAGTCCTTTCACTGTTACAGGGCATCCTGTACGTCAGATCCTGGATTGCTCCAGACCATGAAAAACTTAAACCATACTGAACTGAGAAACAAGGACCGAACAACTGCAGACAGGGCTAACCCTGAGATGAAGCTTTGGATGTGGTGTGACAATTCAGAAAGAAGAACAAAGGCTGTACACAAACCCAAGAGATATGGGGGTTGTGGTAGGAGAGTTAGCAGTGCACACAGGTCTTGCCAGCACATCATCACTTTCTAGGAAAAAGCACAGAAAAGGGGATGAAGCTGCCAGCTCAGTGATGCTACTACCCAGGTGGAGTTTTGCACCTGCCTTCCCATGCCATGCTGTAGCAGAGGATGGCCTTAGCATGTTCCCTCCTTCCCCTGCATGGCCTGGAAGATGGTCTTTTCTCCTGCAAAGCCCTGCTTTAACTCACCAACTGCACACAGTGTATTTGAAAAAACAGGGATCCTGTATGCTGCCAAAACCATGGCCCAACGGAAGGTACATGGGCACTATGACTATCAGTAGTAAGTTCAGGTGCCAGTGAGAGCCAGGGTGACAGAAGGCCCAAGCAGAGGGACTGCTGCTTTGAAGTGCAGCAGCACTGCCTGGTTCACAGAGATAACTTGGGAAATGCAGGTCCTTGAGGACACTGATCATGTTAGACCTGCGATTTGCTCCAAGCATGGCCAGTGGTGCACAGTGCAACATCCCCCACCATGGAGGGGCAAGGCCACTGACTGAGCTCACCTTTGTTTCAAGCTGGAATAATTTTCAGAGAGAAAAATGGCAGTGTGCTGCTGGAGACTGTACAGGGGTATTTGCAATCTAAACTTGCCACCAGTGATTGAACTGAGAAGTCTGCATTGTGCCACCAGGGCAGAGAAACGAGTACTGTGGATGTCAGACATAGATGCGATGCTGGAGGTGAGCGTGCCCCTGGCATATCCCATCCGCAGGGACAGCATGGTTCAGTGACACAGACTCCCTCCTGAGAATGGGAATTTCTGGGTTTCTTGCTCTGCCACGTGCTGTGCCCCTTGAAAAAAACCCCAAAAACTTTCTCCTACTTTGGTGAGCCTTCTCTTTAAATGGAGATCTTAATGGGAGGCTCTGTATCCTACTATTATGGCAAAACCAAATTTGAATTTATTTTCTCCAGTTGCCACTGATAACAAAAAAGCTGATACTACCAACAGTTGTAAAATTCTCATGCATATGCCCCTCAAACAAATGCAACAAGTGACACTCTGGCAGCAGAATCGTATGTCACCTCCTCTTTTGAGAGCAAAACTACGTGACACAGACTTTCAATCAAACTCCCAAATTATAAACAGATAAAGATCTATTTACCTATTCTCAACCTAGGGATTAATTTATTAAAACCTTTAGCTACTTTTGTACTGTTCTAAAATGTAGTTTGTACTATTACATGTTTATGAGTATTCCTGAAACAGAAACGAGTCTTACTCAGCAAGGCTACTGATCATAAACTTTGACTCTGTACTAAATAAAGACGATGTAGTTTCAAGTTTTCTCCTTGTGTTTTAGATATTATGAACACACTGAATATTACAGTGTCACAAGAAGGTTCTCAGCAGTTAATTCCTATCCAGGAATAAAATCCTCTTTTATCATATTTTGATGAAAAAACATCCAAGTTGTATAGATTTTTAATTCCAACCACAGAAAGGAAAAACAGTAATAATAGCTGCCCGACACTTTCTCATTCCACCACCTCAATAACACTGCTACAAACAAAACCTCCACATATGACAAAAGTTATTATAAACTATTTCCATCTACAAAGCCAAACCAATCTCTCCATCAGCATTTGTTCAGCACCAAGAATCTGCAGCTCTCTAGCATGTGCCAATCACCTTTTGTGACGACTCCACCTTTGACCCTGTCAGCCAGCACAAGCAAAGAAAGATGGCATATTCAGTACAGGGAGAGCTGGGTGTAAGAAAGGGGATAAATCACAGCTTTTGGTGATGAGCCAAAGGAGTAATTCACAACTCCACAGCACTGTGCTGGCTGTGGGGATGATACAAACTACTCATCTTCAAGTGCTCCTTTGAAAGAAAGGTTGATCGAAGAAGCTAGAGACACAAGATGTGTGCCTGTGGAGGCTTGAGGACACAGGCCAGTTCATTTTAACACAGAATCAACTAGGTTGGAAAAGACCTCTGAGATCGAGTCCAACCCAAACATAATGATACGCAGATGGTTTTGCTGTTTCAAACACACTTAAACTGCTCTTTAAGACCTGTGTGTGCTCTCTCAGCATTCAAAAATATTTATACTCAGGGTGTGAATCACCTTGTAAAGCACAGCAGCCGAGACAGTGTGCTTAAGTGATCAAAGCACCTTTCAGAGCTGTACCACCAGCACTGACAAACAGAGCTGTTTTACAAACACTTTGATTTATAATCTCAGTGAGGTGACATGTTTTCCTCCTCCTGTCCCAGGTTGGATACCGAAGTGGCACATGCTGGCACTGACCTAGGAAGCCCTCTTCATCCACAATGATGGTGTAGTCCTCGGGGGTTTCCGTGAGGCTGAAGAACTTGCACCTGCCAAAGGCAAACAGCAGGAGAACATGATTAGATGCTGGACTGAGCAGAGCCTGGTCTTTCACTTAAAATGGAGGTCCTTTCCCATCCAGCTGTGATGGAGGAAGGAGTCAAGGTCTGGTATTTATGGAGAGGCCTGAGGCATTTACAGACCTGGATTTTATTCCTGGTTAACTTGCACTGTTGTTGTGACCCACATTCCCTGCTGCCTGCCTATGCACAATGGAGCTTGTAAAACTCTTACTATTTTTTATGACTGAGTTTTTAGTTACTTTTAGTTACTTTTCTCTAATTACCATGCTCCTTAAGGCTTCCCATCACAGCCAGGACCTGCTGTGTTGCATTGACACAGAGCAAAAAGCTTTGGTCATTGACTGATCACTCCAGTACCCTCCAAAAGCCTTCCCATGGTTCATGCCTGCAACTGTTTTCCCTATCTGTCCACTAAAATGTCTCGCCTTATCAAGATTTGGCATTCAGTCTCTCAACTAAGCCCCAGTATCTCTTCTTGTTGCTTCAGAGGCTTTTTCCACAAGCAGACAGCACCCCAACTTCCTATGCTGGTCCTCGCCCCTTCCCTGGGGTGCTCCAGGTGCAGAGCCATGGGAGCAGCAATCAAGCCCACGGACTGAGCTTCCCCCACCTCAATCCCCCACTGCCTCTGCTCTGCTCCACATTCATCTTCGGACACTGCAGGCCAAGTGCAGCACAGCATTCCCAGCGTGCTCAGCACTGAGCACAGTGTCACCTCCAACAGGAGATACAAACCAAATGTGACATGGGATTCTTCCACTGCTGACACAAACAAAAAGAGGCTCAGCCTTAAGGTTTAACACCACATATAGTTGAAAAGGAGTTTTTTCCCTGACACACCAACATATGTACAGCAACATCTACTGAAAAAAAACCCAGCTTCTATCCAGTTGGTCCCCAGCAACGGCAGGAAGGTTAGCACAGCATTTTTCAAGCTCATGTTCACCTTCAGCAGAGCATCAGTGCTGGGCAGCAACCCAGGCAGGGCTCCCAGCCCCTCCAGGAGCATGCCAGAGCACAAGGACCCTTTCTGCTGCCCAAGTCACAGAAAAAATTTTTCCCTCTAGGAAGCTAAATTGGCTGCAACATGAAGAGCCTGTGTCTCTAAGAACCAAAGAGCAAGATTTCACAGTTACACTATAATACTGTCCAATTTATCTGAGGCAACCTACAGAAAATATTTTAAATATTTAAAAAAGAAATATTGTTCTCAAGACCCCAAATTTCACACCATGTTCACTATATAATTTCTATATGAAGCACAGTTCAGTAGCATTCATCAATCAGGGACTACTAGGGCTTCTCAGCACTGGTGAGCATCTGTGTTTTAAAGTGTTCAGGACTTCTGAAAGCCTGGAACCCCACACTGGTGGTTCAAGACATCAAAAGATGAAGGCATTTACTTGATTATAGAATCAGAATAATACCTTGGCTGTAGCATTCTTCTGACTGGTTGAAAAGAACAAACATAGCAGCTATCCCCTCCAAAAACAATAGGGAGAAAAATGAGATGGATGCTGCCCTCCCCATCATCTCATCAGAAAACTGAGAAGAAACAACACACTGTTCAATTAGTGATCTGCCATGTAACCAGCACGATTTCATGTACATGGAAAGTATAAGACAACCTGCCTTTAGAGACTCATCCTGTTTCCCTGGAAGCATCCATCACAACAATCAAGCATGACACTCTTCTTCCTAGCACAGACATATCACTATAAAATACAGATGTGGCCCCACCACAAGAGAAACCACAACTTAATTATTTTGTGTCATTGGTAATAGCTGCTGTGACGGCCAACTCAACTCTCTAGGAACAGTGCCAAGAGAAGCAGAAAACAGCAGCAGCCCAAATTTTGCTCTCACTCTTAACTGCACAAGGCTGCGGCCTGTGCAAGGGGTGATCCAAGCTGGATAAAATGGATTGCTGGGATGCTGTTCCAGGTGAGTCCCAGGAGGTAGAAGTATTTGTTATTTAGTGGATGAATTCCCTGGGAAAGTCAATGAAATAAAAGTCTTTGCTACTACTACCCAATCAAGCCACATGCATGGTGACTGAGGAAAAGCTAGTGGTCTTAAAGGAGAAAACGTTAATAATAAAAAAAACTAATCTTGCCTGACCTGTGATGGCATTTATTGAAGAATATTGTACCAGAACAGTAATAAATGTCCGTGTGCACCACTGACCCCAGCAGAAAAAGCATGATTGTGACAGATGCTAGTTTCTGAGCACACACTAAGGGATGTGTACAGACGAAATCCCATAATTGCGGCTCAGAATGCATGTTAAAACCTCAGTTCAGTTCTGTAAAAGGTCAGTATCACAGAGCCATCTGAATTTAAAAGTAAAGTCTTTCACCAGCACAGAGAAGACCCTTGGTTCTTGGGGTTTATATTCATTTTGTTCAAGCCAATGATGTGTTCTTTTTCTCAAGGGAAATCTAAACATGAAAAACTGGAATTGCAAATCTTGTGTGACAAACCAGAAGGAACTCAATGTCATATCTCTCTCATTATATAACACATGCCTCTTCCATTCAAGTTATTTCAATAATTTCTCTTTCCTCTTAAACCAGTCCTTGATAAGCTGAATGCCAACAGCATCTTCTATTATCACACCAAAGCCAAGAAAGGAAAAGAATTGCCCTTTAATCATTTTGAGACATCAGGCAAACAGTATTTTCCTAAGTACGTGTGGAAAGCACATATGTAGGAAGATGTATTACTAGTTTCCTAACAGCCAAACCTCAGGTGGATTATTTTGGATTTCTGCCTTCCTAAAGTTTCAGTACATTTCCACTTCAGCACTGTTGCTGACTTTGACTCCCTAACAACATATGCCTTTTTCTGGCAACACTATAAATGTAGACCAATCTATAATTAGATTAGATCTTTGAAACTGCAAAGCCTACACTGTGTATGGAAGCAATACCCGTGCTTGCACAGAGCAGGAAAGCGCCTGTAGGATGCAGCAACAGCATCATTTCAGTTTGCAAACAGTACTCCAGTCTCTGTGGGAGAAGAGAGCAGGAAAGCAGAGTGGTTGGTCCTGCTTGCAGGTCCTCACCAGAAGTGTCTCCTCCAGCCATTCAGTCTTCAAGACTTGCTGAGATCACAAGAGTGACAATACTGGGATGAACGTGACTTTACTTGGTTCTGGGTCACACACAGAGCACAAGTTTGTGGGAATACTGCTGTGCATCATTGGGAAGTTCAGCACAGACAATAGTCTTTAAGGAAGAGCACAAGTTTTACCTTCTTACATATATGGAAACTACTTAGTTAATTCTTGTCTCAGGAGGGTAAAGCGTTGCAAAGCTGTGTGTCCATTTTTTGGAAGCTCATTATATGGCGGGGCCTGCACAGCACATGTCACCTGCTCCTCCTCTGGTGATAACCTGAAATTTTCGCCTTTCGGCCAGTTCATGATGATCTCCAAGATTTCTGGGCAATTGGAGTTTCCTAAGCCAAGCTCACTGTGTAACCAGAGTGATCCATGTACTCTGTGCAGATCACATGGTGTGATGTGTGGAAGGGGCTTCCCCTCTGAACATCCAGCCCAGCACTGGCAGCAGGGGTGCCAGAAGGAGCTGTGCTTCGGTGCAAATCACTTCTGAAGTGGCTCCAACTCCTTCAGAAGCTGCCAGGATCTCTTTTTCAGTTGGAGTGTAACAGGCCTTAGACCCTTTGTATCCCTGACTCCAGAACCCTGGGGGTTGTCCTCGAGTCTCCCCACGTACTTTCTGCCGGAGATTCCAGGAAGAATCATTCTCCCTGGCTGTAGTGTAGAGCATGACTTTTACATTCTGTCTGGTCCTGACTGGCCCACAGACTGGGCCACGTCCTGTTTAATTTGTTCAAAAGCGTGTTTTTGTTCAGCACCTCACTTAAAATTGTTCTTCTTCAGTGTTACATGATAGAGAGGGCTGACAATCTGACTGTAATCTGGAATATGCATCCTCCAAAAACCCACAGCACCCGGGAAAGCCTGCGTTTCCTTCTTGCTGGTCAGTGGGGACATAGCTGCTATTTTGTTAACCACATCCATTGGGATCTGAGGATGTCCATGTTGCCATCTTACTCCTAAAACCTGAATTTCCTGGGCAGGTCCCTTGACCTTACTTTGTTTTATGACAAAACCAGCCTTCAGGAGGATCTGGATTATCTTCTCCCTTTCTCAAAATCTGCCTCTGCTGTGTTCCCCCACACCATGATGTCATCAATGTACTGCAGATGTTCTGGAGCCTCACCCTTTTCCAGTGCAGTCTGGATCAGCACATGGCAAATGGTGGGGGTGTGTTTCCAGCCCTGGGGCAGTCGGTTCCAGGTGTACTGAACACCCCTCCAAGTACAAACAAACTGTGGCCTGTACTCTGCTGGCAGAGGAATGGAGAAGAACCCATTAGCAATGTCGATAGTGGCTCCTCTTGGCTGCCTTGGACTCCAGTTTGTACTGAAGTTCCAGCATGTCCAGTACAGCGGCATCACTGGTGGTGTGACTTCATCCAGACCACAGCAGTCCACTGTCAGTCTCCACTCTCCACTGCACTTATGCACTGCCCATACAGGACTATTAAAGGGGGAGTAAGTCTTGCTGACCACTCCCTGGCTCTCCAACTGATGAACCATCGGGTCAGGATATTGCCGACATTGCATTGTTGGGGTGGCAATTGGTAACTGTTCTTTGACACTCAGCAGTCTCACAAGAGAGGGGTCCTCTGAGAGACCAGGTAAGGTACCCAGCTGCCTGATTTCCTCTGTCTCCACAGCAGCTATCCTGGAAGCCCAATAATGCCGTTTTGGGTGCTTGAGACACCTTCTCCTGAGGTAATCTATGCCAAGGATAGACTGGGCCTCTGAGCCAGTCACAAGGCGGTGTTTTTGCCATTCGCTCCCAGTCAGGCTCACTTCAGCTTCCAGTACAATCAGCTCTTGGGATCCCCCTGTCAGCCCAGAAATAGAGATGG